CCAAATCACAGGTCTGGTTTTTGCAAGAAGAGAAACTGCCAATTGTTAGCAGTTCAGAGGAGCATAGTCATAAGATTTTGATGAAATCACCCTGGGAAATGTTGCAGTCACCAGTTGGATCTGGAGGTGTCATTAGCTTGCTTTCATCCCACAATATGATTGAGAATCTTAGCCAAATGGGTTTGGAGTACATTCAGGTCAGACGCTCAGTTAAATTTGTCACAATCAATCACAAATTAGTGCATTATTCATGTAAAGATTGTTATCACACTTACAAAATTGCATAGAGTTAGCTCCAAACTGATAATTAGGTTCTTCATCTAACTTGCAATCTTGTTTTCCTTCTTGAATGAGTTTTTCTTGTATTCTTCTTGTTATCATATGAATTTGCTTTTAGCAGATATGCAGCATCAAAAACAGATATATTGGGAGAAGCTCCCTCCTCCTTGGGTTTGCTCACTCTCAAAAAGCTGACGTTGGTGTCCAGATTCCTCAAGATACAACGGATTTAGAAGAGAGCTTTGGCATGGTTTTCTCAATGAATTTTATGAAGAAATTGGCAAGACAAATCAATAAACTTCAATTCTATGCAATACCCACGCTGAGTTCACATGTTGAGATGGTTGACAAAAAGTGGGTTGATGTTGTTCCTTCCTCCCCAAACTCATACGAACTTTGTTGTACAATTTATAGTTGCATAAATGCCTGTTCTCCAGATAAGATTTGCACAATGGAGATCACAGGTTAATGTATGAACCATAAAGAGCTTTTGGCCTTTTGGCCATCCTTTGTTCAAAAGAGTATAATGTGTATGCAACCTTGCTTCCGGTTCCCCCTGGTTGCTTCTTGTTCTCCCTCCACTTCTTTTCTTTCCACCTTTTTACATGCAGGGATTAGTCGATAATGTTTGTTGCCATCAAATTCATATGATCTCGACTAGGGAAGTAATAGTTTTACAGTTATTTTGTGCAGATTGCATATTTTATAACCATTAATGCATATACCTCTTGCTAACATGTTGACTCTTGTTTGGCTGTAATCATTTTTTTTTTTTTTTATCCTCTCCTTCCTCTGATTTTTTGTCAATTCGAAAAATTTTATAAAGAAAGCCACATATGGACAACATGGCAAATGGGCCTGATTAAGAAAATGCAGGCCCAAACATTAAATAAAAGCGTAAGCCTGGTTGAGGCCCAAGTACCAACTAAAAACCCAAATAGTGGTCCTGGATCTAGGACCGAAAACAATATCCACCGTTGATCCCCCAGAAACCGAAAATGAAACCCTAGTGTCTCCACTCTTCTATATAAACCACATCAACTCCGCAGTTTAAGTCGCCGGGCGGCGAACCGAAAACCCTAATACACGGTGAGCCTCTCTTTCTCTTGTCGTCAATACTTCTAAGCTTTCTGTTTGTATTAGTGAAGTTACTATGATTTATTTGTTTGGAGCTGATGCTCGATTTTGGTTTCTGTGAAGGAGGTAAGTAGCAGAGATGGCGGTGCCGCTGTTGTCGAAGAAGATCGTGAAGAAGAGGGTCAAGAAGTTCAAGAGACCCCAGAGCGACCGCAAGATTTCTGTGAAGGTATATAGATCTGCTTCATCAATACATGAAGTATTTGTTTCGAGTATTCATTGGTCTTGTTCTGTTGAAATTAGGAGGCTCGATTAATGGGTGTTTAAATCTTTCTTTGCAAGCTCGGTTTTTTAGGTTTGAAGTTCGTTTTCCCCCTTTTTTATGTTTTCTACGTGGTTTCATTAGGGATGTGATGATAAGGTTTGTCGCCCCAGTCTTATTTGCATATTTTGATGCAAGGTGGTGATTGACACATTATCTGATTCCATCAATATGTCTGTTCTTGTTAGTGTCAGTGCAAAGCTAATATAGTTTTTGGATTCTATCAGTTCTAGAGTTCTTTGACATTTTTGAAGGTTTTTTTCTTTTTTTTGGTTGAGTTGGGTTTTGTAAGGACATGATGATAGAGATCATGACACCCAGTCTCACTTGCTTTTGCAATATGGTGAGCAAGCGATCGACTATCTGATCCATGTGGCATGGAGAGCAATTAGCAGAAAAATTGTTTTTCTTTTTTTATTGTGCATGCTAAATTACAGCGTATGTGATGACCCTATTTGTATAATCATTTTTAGTTACTTATTCTTCTTGGAATATGCAAAGAGGCGTGATGAACTTATCCATTATTTCTGCATTTTGAATGATGAATACAAACATGCACTACCATCTGATCTCTTTTGCATGTTTGCATCCATTATAAATTTCAAGGGTTTTCTTTTGAGATTTCTGTGAATTTGTAATTGATTTCAAGTGGATGGATTTAAATTCTCTACATTTACTGCAATCTATGATGGAAATGAATCATCAGACCTGAGTTAACTTTGATGAGTTAAAATTATAACCATCTTTCGACTGAGATTGCAGATTCTAACTGAAAATAAATTGTTTCTCTTTTCTATTTCATTTAGAATTCAGTGACTGTCAGATATCATTTTTGTATTGTTTTCCTCTTGGATATCATTTTTGTATTGTTTTCCTCTTGGGCAAGTAGAAAAATTTTATTGTTAAGTTTTATTGCCCATGGTATCTGATGTCCAGTATTATTCCTTTATAGCTGGACGTTTCGTTTGAAGGGCTGATATAAATATGGAACAGGTCTTGCGACACAGTTAGCTTGCTTTTCCATAGGCTCTCTGTTACTTTAACCCTGCTCACATCTTTTGCTGTCATATTTTCCCTTTAAAACTGGTTGTTATCTATATTTCCTACTGCATCATTGTGACATTTTTATTTGAAATCTAATCATGATTGACAGCCAAGCTGGCGTAGACCAAAGGGTATTGATTCTCGGGTTCGAAGAAAGTTCAAGGGATGTACTTTGATGCCTAACATTGGTTATGGCTCAGACAAGAAGACTCGTCATTATCTTCCAAATGGTTTCAAGAAATTTGTTGTGCACAATGCCAAAGAGCTTGAGCTGCTCATGATGCACAACAGGTATCTTAAATTTTTTGTAACATTCATTACCCATTCAGTTTTGACATTTTCCAATCATTTACTATTTTCCCTTGCTTTGTAGGACATACTGTGCTGAGATTGCTCATGATGTCTCCACAAGGAAGAGGAAGGAGATTGTGGAGAGAGCTGCTCAGCTTGATATTGTTGTTACTAACAAGCTAGCTAGGTTGCGCAGCCAGGAGGATGAATGACGTAGACATGAGCCTTGTTTCAGTAGCCATTTTATCAATTTTGAATAATTCTCTTGTTTTTTATAAGATAATTACACCCCTCAATGTTATTTCTATTAATGTCTGTGATTTTACAATTATGGTAAAGATACTCTTATATTTACATCTGCCATTGTTCAACTCTTGCTTTTTACTTGTATTGGAAAACATTGCTGCCTTTTTCCTCAAACAGTGAAAAGTCTCCATGCCGTATTTTGCCCAGATTGGCTGAAATAGGTTTTTTCGTTCTGGATTTGCATTTATGCATGGTTTATTTATCGGTAATTTTTTATTCTTTAAAGAGCGAGAATATTTTTTTTCCAGAGTTGAAAAGCTATTGGAGTGATATATGTTTTCCATGCTAACTAGATAGCCAAGGAAACAGAATGTAGTTTTTCATGAAATTATCTTAAGAAATTTACGCTAGAAGAGATACCATCTTGGTTCAAAAGCCTAAATTCAACAGTAAAGTAGTCTCTAATTCTAGCATTTTAATTTACAGGATCTACTCGATCTCTCTAATATCCTTGAGATACTGATTTCTGATCTTTTTAAGCATCGCTACGACATCCATCATATTTCTCCTTACTTTGGGTGCTTCTGCACAGCAATTCAAAGCTACCTCCAGAATGGATGATACACAATTTGCTTTGGCAATAGAATGCTTATCCTCCTCCATCAAATTGGCATCCACAACCTCCATTCCTGAATGAGATAATGATTCGTTCACCCACGCCTTCAAGCTCATTTCTCCAGCAAACATTTTGTCTGTTGGTTTCTTTCTTGTGAATGTCTCCAAGACTAAAATGCCATAGCTATAGACATCCCCCTTTGCAGAAACCATTCCCAAAGATCCATACTCTATCAAATTATAATAGACAATTAATTTTATCTTCGCACAGGTAAATTAAATAGTAAACAAGTAAAAAGAAAGGGGAAAAAATAAATTATAACCTGGTGCCATGTAGCCTATAGTGGCAATTTGCATTGTTTGAATTACAGATGCCCCTTCTCCCAGAAGCTTTGCAAGGCCAAAATCTCCCACATGTGCAACCATATCTTCATCAAGTAGCACATTGCTAGGTTTCAAATCGCAGTGAATGATTGGAATTGAATGTCCATGTTGGAGATGTTCTAGAGCAGAAGCCACGTCAATCATTATATTCAATCTTTGTAGGATATTTAGACAATATCCATCAGAATATAACCACTTCTCCAAGGTCCCATTAGGCATGAACTCAAGCACCAAGGCCTTGAAGTCTTCATTACAACAGCTGCTAATGATTTTGACCAAATTTCGATGGCGAATATTGCACAGTACTTCACATTCTGTGTCAAAACTCTTGAGCACACCCTCTACTTGTAGATTGAAGACCTTTATTGCAATGTTCATTCCATTAGGAAGTGTCCCATTGTACACTGACCCAAAACTCCCTATGCCAAGTAAGTTTCTTTCATTAAAATTGTCAGTTGCATGTTGAAGCTCTAGGTATGAAATTCTTTTCCAATTTGGTAGACTTGGCAAAATTTCTTCATCTGAGGATTTTGCTTTTGATTTATATTGTCTTTTGAAGGTGATGATGATGATAAGGGAAAGTATCAATATGGTAGCTGCTACAAGTGGCAACACTAGTCTTAGCACATGCATGGATTTTTTGTGGGACTTGGACTTACATGGAGGCACTTGAAATCTTGGCAAACCACAGAGGGCAGTGTTTCCCATAAATGCTTGAGCAGACAAGTTTGTGAATGATCCTCTGCTTGGGATTTCTCCTTCAAATCTATTGAAAGATACATTGAAGAATTTGAGATGGGAGAGTCCTTCCAAAGACTTAGGAATCACTCCAGAAAGAATGTTGTTAGAAAGATCCAAGAAGACCAAGCTTACCATGCCACCAAATGATTGAGGAATGTTACCTTCTAATGCATTTTCTGCTAAGGAAAGATAAGTTAGATCTTTGAGATCCCCAATGCTGCTAGGCAAATTGCCTGATAATTGATTTCTAGATAAATCCATGTTGATCAAAACCTTCAGATTTCCAAAATCTGATGGAAGAGAGCCACAGAAGATATTTGATGACAAATTTACAATCAAGATATATTTAAGGCTCCAGAAAGTTGAGGGTATGGTGGAAACTAATTTGTTGGAATCTAAGTATAGGGTTCTTAAAGAAGTCAAATTGGCTAAGCATTCTGGTAGGTATCCATTGAGCTGATTACAATTCAATTCCAATTGATCTAATTTCTTTAAATGACATAGATCGTTTGGAATTTTTCCTTGAAGTCTATTATTATAAAGATATAAACCTTCAAGACGTTGCAATCTTCCAATTGTTGTTGGAATTGGTCCAGTCAAATCATTACCATAAAGAACCAAAGTTATCAAGTTGCTCAAGTTGCCAATTTCTACGGGAATGTTTCCGTAAAATTTGCTATTGTATACATAAAAATATTGAAGAGATCTAGATAGATTCCCAATTGAACTCGGAAAGACACCAGTCAATGAATGAGACGATATTTCTAGACGTGTCAAAAATCTACAATTTACGAAAGAAGAGAGAAAGCTTCTTTCTGAAGTGGAGAGTTTAGAGAACATGTTTCCAACAAGGCGAAGCCAACAAAGTAATCTTAGATTGCCGAGTGAATTGGGGAAAAGGCCAGAGAATGAGTTATCACTTATGTCTAGAACGGTAAGCTGGGAAGAATTGGAGATAGAACTAGGAAAATTGCCATTAAGTTTATTTCTCGCCAGTCCTAGCCAAATAAGCTTTGGAAGCCCAAGTCCAAGGGTTGAAGGAAGATGGCCTGATAGGTTATTCATTGATAAGTAAATCATTTCCAAGGTTGAGATGTTGAAGATCATGGGAGGTATGGAACCAGTCAAGAAGTTGTATCCCATTTCCAAAACCCTCAAGGGTAAGTTGCCAACCTCCTCTGGTATTTTACCTGTAAAACATATAAACAAATTAATTGATAAACCTTTTAACTTGCATATGATTTTTTTGCAAAAATAAAATTGTTTGGGAAAATAAGAGATGAAAAATTAATTATGGAGAAAGAGTTTGCATTATATTGGTACCTATCAAGAAAATTTTAGATGTGTCAAAATAATTGGGTAAAGTTTAGTTTCCAATACCCTTTGTAATGGTCCTGGAGAGCTTATTGAATCTTACCTTCAAGGTAATTTTCAGAGAGATATATTTCAGTAAGTTTGGACAAGTTTCCAATGCTTCTTGGGATGTATCCAGTGAATCTATTAGTTTCTAAAGCCAACTGTCGAAGCTTCTTGCATTTGCCTATGCTTGAGGGAATTGAGCCAATTAACTGATTCTCATACAGATTAAGAAACTCAAGATTTGGTAAATGGTAGCACAAGTCAGTTGGAAGGCTACTAGAAAGGTTATTTTTGGGGAGATAAATCCATCTTAAGGAAGAGATGTTGAAGATATTTGGTGGAATTAGACCTGATAGGCTTGCATTTCCCACTGAAAGTACCTCCAAATTATGAAGATTACCTATCTCCTTCGGAATTTCCCCTACAAAAAATTGGGAGTTTAGACTTTAATTGAAGAATGATGAATCCCACCTTAACATTTAGCAGATATTTTTGAAGAAAAAAAAAGACAAATTAGAAAAATATGAAATCATCCGTCTTATTTTGTATCTCCAATATATATTTCTCTTAGCTTAATTAAGTTCCTAATATTTCTAGATATAGTTCCTATAAGTTGGTTGTTTTCTACTTTAAGAATCTACAACTTTGAAAGTAAACTATAATAAAGAAGAATAAACTCAAAAAAATAAAAGGCTTTGCATTAGAATGACACCTATCAAAAATTTTTTACTGATGTTTATAGTGCTGAGAGTAAAGTGAAGTGACTAAAAAATTATTAATCTCATAAATCATGAATGAAAATAAAACATATTCAATAACCTCACCTTCGAACTCATTGTCATTGAGATATATTTCAATTACTTCGGACAAGTTCCCAACGCTTCTTGGAATGTATCCGGTGAATCTATTAGTTTCTAAAGCCAACTGTCGAAGCTTCTTGCATTCGCCAATGCTGGAGGGAATTGAGCCAATTAATTGATTCTCATACAGATTAAGAAACTCAAGATTTGGCAAATGGTAGCACAAGTCAGTTGGAAGGCTACCAGAAAGGTTATTTTTGGGGAGATAAATCCATCTTAAGGAAGAGATGTTAAAGATATTTGGTGGAATTAGACCTGATAGGCTTGCATTTCCCATTGAAAGTACCTTCAAATTATGAAGATTACCTATCTCCTCCGGTATTTCCCCTGCAAAAAATTGGTAGTTTAGACTTTAATTGAAGAATGATGAATCCCACCTTAACATTTAGCAGATATTTTTGAAGAAAAAAAAGACAAATTAGAAAAATATCAAATCATCCGTCTTATTTTGTATCTCCAATATATATTGCTCTTAGCTTAATTAAGTTCCTAATATTTCTAGATATTGTTCCTATAAGTTGGTTGTTTTCTACTTTAAGAATCTATAACTTTGAAAGTAAACTATAACAAAGAAAAATAAACTCAAAAAAATAAAAGGGCTTTGCATTAGAATGACACTAGAAAGGTTATTTTTGGGGAGATAAATCTATTTTAAGGAAGAGATGTTGAAGATATTTGGTGGAATTAGACCTGATAGACTTGCATTTCCCATTGAAAGTACCTCCAAATTATGAAGATTACCTATCTCCTCCGGTATTTCCCCTGCAAAAAAATTGGGAGTTTAGACTTTAATTGAAGAATGATGAATCTCACCTTAACATTTAGCAGATGTTTTTGAAGGAAAAAGACACATATTACAAAAATATGAAATCATCTGTCTTATTTTGTATCTCCAATATATATTTCTCTTAGCTTAATTAAGTTCTTAATATTTCTAGATATTGTTCCTATAAGTTGGTTGCTTTCTACTTTAAGAATCTACAACTTTGAAAGTAAACTATAACAAGGAAGAATAAACTCAAAAAATAAAAGGGCTTTGCATTAGAATGACACCTATCAAGAAATTTTTACTGATGTTTATAGTGTTGAGAGTAAGGTGAAGTGACTAAAAAATTATCAATCTCATATATCATGAATGAAAATAAAACATATTCAATAACCTCACCTTCGAACTCATTGTCATTGAGATATATTTCAGTTAGTTCGGACAAGTTCCCAATGCTTCTTGGGATGTATCCGGTGAATCTATTAGTGCTTAGGATCAACCGTTGAAGCCTCTTGCATCTATGTATACTTGAGGGAATTGAGCCATTTAATTGATTCTTATGCAAATAAAGCTCCTCAAGATTTGGCAGATGGCAGCACAAGTCAATAGGAAGGGTACCAAAAAGGTTATTTGTGTAGAGATAAATCCATCTTAAGGAAGAGATATTGAAGATATTTGGCGGAATGAGACCCAATAGGCTTGCATTTCCTATTGAAAGTTTCTCCAAATTATGAAGATTATCTATCTCCTTTGGTATTTTCCCTGCAAAAAAATTGAGAGTTTAGAGTTTAATTGAAGAATGATGAATCCCTAATTAACTCTCAACATATAGTATCAAAGAAAATACAACAAATTAGAAAAATCTGAAATCATACCTCTTATTTTTGTATCTCCAATATATATTATTCTTAGCTTAGTTAAGTTCCCAATATTTCTTGATATAGTTCCAGTAAGCCAGTTGCTTCCCACTCTAAAAATCTCCAACTTTGAAAGTAACCAAATCTCATCTGGGATGCTCCCGTTAAGAAAATTGTGGCTCAAGTCCATGAACCTTAAATGCTGTAGCTTCCCTAATTCTGGAGGCAAATGGCCGTTGAAGCTGTTTCCACTTAAGTTGATAGAAACAAGAAATGAGAGGTTTCCCAGGTGAGGAGGGAGGCTGCCAGTGAGATTCATGTTTGGAAGATCTAAAGCTGTGACTCTACTATGAAAAGTACCACAGGAAACACCAACCCAATTACAGATTGAGGTGGCAGAAGAGGACCAATTGGAGGACATGATATTCAAAGGATCATAAGTGATGTAAACTTTGAATTGAAGAAGGGCATATTGGTCTGTGGTCAAATTTGGTTGAGACATCGCTAAGGCAGCCATGAAGCATTGCATCAACAACATTGGAAGGAAGATAAAGCCCATGATCATGGTCTCTATTGATGCTGGATAATATCTACAACTCAAAATCAAAGAGATGGCATTATAACAAACTCTTTCCATGGTGCTTTTTTTTTTGGCCCAAATAAACTTTTTCCTTGATTAATATATATTTTTGTTCTAAAATGTTAAGCTGAAGAAAAACTTGTAATTCGTTGTAAACCAAAAATTGATGAATGCTAGTTTGATCTTAAATTTAATATTTGGTTATTAAAATGTTTTAGGTAAAAAATGATTGGTTTGAGAGATTT